ACCTCTCCTTATTATTCCGTGTTTGAAACGGGCCTCGCCTTTCTTATTTTGATACCGCTAAGGAAAAGTGGGTGTGCCCCAAACTCTGTGTCACTGTAAGTTACCGCTCCCGTGAGCCTGCAGCCCACTTCTGTGATGGTACTAAGATAGGGAGACAGCAAAGACTTTCTAAAAAATAAAATACTTCCATCATAGCTGTGGGCAGAAATCTAATTATAACACTTTTGTTTCATTGCAGGACACCCACTATGAGGAAAAAAAATAAAGTTAAGGTCAGCAATTTCTCAAATATAAAGGAATGATAAAAAGAAAAGGCAAAATTTTGAAAGTAAATCAGATTTTCAAAAGCTGTTTTTCTTTTTGGAGGTGAAAGGTCATGTTACAAGGAGCTTAGAGCTCCTTAAAATGGCCGACTAGAACTAGCAAATGACATGCAATTTTTTAAATGCTGATCAAAAGGAGATATGAGTCGGATTTACCTCGACAGTGGCTGGCTTGAAGTGCCGTGGGGAGATGGTGACTTAGGTATGGTATAGACCCTTCCCAAACTGTATGTGTCTAAGAACGTGAATGTTTTTGCTCTAGCAATGTGGTGTTTACAGGGAAGGGCAGGCTTTCTCCCTGTAAATTATATACCAGATGTCTGAGAACTAGTGTTGTTTCTAAATATAGTCAGTCACCTTCTGTGTAGCTACAGAGATACCATAACAGTAAGCATTTGATTAGCGTGGTGAAAGTTACATATATTTTATAAAACAATTTTCACACTGGATAATTCATCCTAAAGAGTTAAGTTGAACATTGTTTAAAAATCTTAGATACCGAATTAAAGTCTAACCAGATTGTAAAGTTGCTGAATTGTTGTATATGAAGCTATTTATACTTTGTTTGGTCTTGAGAAAGCTTACAAATCTTTCTAATATAAAGCATATTTGTACTGAAAGGTAAGATATTTAATATTGAACACATTTGACTAGAAATGTGCAGTTGCTAAATTTCAGATTTTGGAGAGGAGAAACAGGGAGGAGTTAAGATTTAGTTCAAAACAGAAACTGGAGCATGATGTAGTATCCTTTGACTCTCACATGTTACCAGATTAATTACAGAAGTTCTAAGGAATTACAAGAAAACAAATTTGGTGGGGATGCTGGGGAGTTAAGTAAGCAGTATTCAAACAAAAAAAAAAGTGTTTTTCATTGAGTAGTATGCATGTACTGTAAATTACTCTTAATAGATTGATATATCTTTGTTTCTTATAACTGACTTAGGAAAGAAAAATGTAGTAGCAGTTGTTGATTGATGGCTTAAATACTTTAACGAATCATGCAATTATTGGGTCATCGGAAAAGTCATGACGCATTTTTGCATAGAAAACATAGAAAAAAATATGTCATGACTCTTCCAATGACCCAATACTTATATTGATTATTTAATTAAGCTGATAGCACTGAAAAATCATTTCAGTCAATAGATGGCTTGAGTTTTTCCCTAGTTTTGGATTGCTCCCTAAAATTCATATTAAAATGTCCCCTGTTTACCAGTGTATGTTTAGTAAAGAATGCTAGGTATTATTAATTGTGCATTTACATAGCAGGTACTCATTCCTAATCCTCCCTCGTGAGATCCTGATCCATAGGTAGTGCTTTTCTCAGTTGATGAGGAAATTGGCTCTCATGTTTAGATGCCTGCCTGGCCCCTCAGTGTTTTCCTCTGGGAGCTTCTGGGCTCTTGACCCCACCTGGTCTCTATTTCCTCCTCTTCCTCCTGCTCCCACCTGCCCCCTGCCTGGAGGATTAATGGCAGACATCAGGGGTCCTATGCAGTGAGCAGAGCAGAGCTCAGCCCAGGGAATAATAAACTGGGCCAGTGCACTCTTCTAAGCCTTTGTCCCAGCCTTATCCCAAACGGTATAATTTCAGTGGTTTTGTCACCAACCCCCTGTCCACACTTTCCAGCAGATTTCTGTGACATTTAACTCCTTTTTCATGCCCGTGGAGGGCGTATTAATAGCAAATAAATACACCCACGTAAAATCTGGCTTCAGCTCTTTTTCTCCCCACCCTAATGGACTTAAGTCTTGGTGATTAAAACAAAATGACAGTAGGGACAAAAAGCTATGTGACAGTCTTGGGGGAACACTGGGGGTTGGGATATAGGTGGCAAATTAAAAAAATAATTCATTTCTTTATTTTGGCTCTTGTGCAGCCTGTTTTCTAAATGACCCTTCCCCCCCCCACACACCTTTTTTTTCTTTCTCTCTTTTGTGAACACCAGCAAGCAGTACTGAAATGGTTCCGAAGGAGAATACATTCATTTTGATGGACAAATATATCAGTATGCAAAAGAGCAATGTCGAGTTCCTTATAGTTGCAAGTATCGTTAGCTTTGCTGCCCCTTAAAGGTCTTCATAATATTAGAAAGAAATGAGTCCAGAATGAATCCCAACGGCCATTTCTCCAGGCTTTTCCCAACCCCAACCTTTGGTTAATTGCCGTGTTAGCGAGTGATGATGGAAGAACACGCAGTGCTAGAGAATGGGCATCGTATAATTCAGCAGACAGCTTTTAGAGATAAGTTAAGGATAATGAACTTTATTGAGGGAGGACAAGACCATTTGTCCATATTATAAATTATTATTTAAAGTCAAAAAGTTTAATCCCTGATTACTGCAAACCTTAATAATGTACTGCTGCTTTGCTGATTAAACTGCACATAGTGGTTGCACATATGCAACCTGTTTGGGAAGTGAATATTATAATTTTGTTACTTTCTTATTGAAATTTCATAGTGAAAATTGATATATGTTCTGAATTCCTCCAGCGTTATACTCTGCAATCAAGTTGTTTACTTTAATGATTAAACAAATGGACATGTATGCTTTGTAAAGCATCAAATTTCATCTTAGAAGCTAGAACTCGACACATAGTTGTTCCCCAAACTAATAATATTAATGATGGTGACTTTTGCTTTTTATGTAAGGAGAACATAATGTTTCAATTTTTAAAAATTATTACTTTGCCACCAAATTTTGTACTATCAACAAATATTGATTGGTGTGCAATATTTCAATTCTGCTTTTAATATATATAATAGGAGTGGTGAATACTGGAAAGAAATAATACACAAATGCTAATGATAGTAACTCTTCTTTCAGTTGAAATCTCCGAGAATTGGATGTTTGGCTTACTAATCTTTTTTGGATGAGCAAGAAATAATGCTAGATGAAAAGGCAAAATAAAGACAGTGTGCAGTTTTGTAACTAGGAGTATTAGCTCTAGAGTTAGACTATGTGACTCTCTTTAAATGATTTCATTTCTTCTCGCTCTCATTTCCTCAACTTTAAAATAGAAATAATAATTGTGTATACCTCAAAGTGTTATAAGAACTAAATGAGATACTGTACACAATCCTTAGACTCCTATTGTGCACATAGTAAACACAATTCTACATTAGCTATTATTATTATTATTCCTTGTAAATCAGTACCAGTAAGTAGAAGGCTCTTCCCCCTTTCCCTTAGGAATTGTATTTTCAATAAAATCCCATAATATCATTGTTTATAAAAAGACTGATGATTGGCAGTTGACTTCTGCTTTCTATACCAGGTTCACGTGGTCATTTCATTAACTGTGATATGTGTCTCACATTTTATTCAGTGGAGTTGTTTCGACCTCACTTATGCTGTGGCAGGATTCTACTGTATGATTATAATAAGAAGCACAGGTGTATATGTAGATTTTTTGAAAGGTATGAAATACAGGAATAATGAGGTGGTTTCTAAAGTACAACACCCTGCTATGTTTCCAATCATTTTCCTGACATAAACAGGCTTTCTACCTATTTTTCATAAAAGGTATGTTTCTGACTAACAGCTAAGTGACTTTATTTAAATTGCACTAGAATTGAATAGCAGGGTTGTTTTTTAAAAAATAATTTTTATTTATTTTCCTTCTATGGATCCAAAAATGGGGGAAGAGGCAGTAGACAAGGAGACAGATATTACCAAACGTGATCCCATTACATTGGGAAAATTTTTCTCTCTATTGCGTTAATTTATCATCCAATGACGTGTCCATTAAATAGAACCAACAATGCTGGTCCTGTTTGAGTTCAAGAGGATCACTGTGTACCAACCCAGCATCTTATAAAACCACCTGGGTGGACCACAAGGTGGAGAGTGATGGGAAGGGAGGGTGTACCCAGCAAGGTATCGAGAGTGGTTGGGGAGAGAAGAAAAAGGTGATTTCTACATGGGAGAACACTGATCTTTCTAACGGACAGGTGCAAAAGGCATGTCAGGACAGGAGGACTTGGGGACATGATAGGCCAGGGTTTTCCCACCCAGGCACAGGGTTGGAGAGCTTCGGTACCACCATCTGCTGACCACTAGGTGAGCCCTTCTAGGTGAGTGTTTCAAACGCCAGTGACAGTCTGCCCCTCCCAGACTGTGACATCCTCTTTCTAGGGCTCATCCAGCTGGTCCCAAGTTTCAGGACTTGGGGCTCAGCTACTCATCCTCCTTGGCAACATGTTGCAGCCCTCTCACACCTCAGGGCAGGGCAGTCGGGGTGCAGAGAGCAGGGGAACAGCAGGGTAGGTGGGGAGTGTGGAAAGGTGAGTGTCCCAGCTACCTTTCCTGCTAAAAGTGCAAACAAATTATTTTTCTGGGTTCTGTCTGCAAAACCATGAAACAGAGGTGGGATTTTGTTTGTTTGTTTAGATGCCAGGTCTAGTGACCGTAATCTTCCTCTTCTTTGGAGGATAATTCCAAGGGTGCAGTAAGCCTGGAACAGGTCAATTCCTGAACGTGAACTACTGCCCCTGGATCTGAGAACTGCCAATCTGACTCCTTTAGATAAGAATCAAATTTCCTGGTATAGGGTGTGCGTGTCTTGGTCACCTTGCGTATACTGAATCAGAGTAATTTATATCTCACAGGAATTGGTCCTGTCCAATAGGGTTTAGTTGGACTCAGAGTTGTTTTCTTTCTTTTCTGGCAGGTTCCTGGGCAGATCGCTCACCACTACATGAAGCAGCAAGTCAAGGTCGCCTCCTTGCTCTGAAAACATTATTATCACAGGTAAAATATTATGTATGCTTAAAATAGTCCCCGTCATGAGCATGGACATTAATCATGAAAAGCAATCAACTCAAAAACAATAAAACTGCCTTATAAATTTTGCTAGTCTTTTTATTTTAACTCACATGGCAGTCGAGTCTATAGTTTCTCATTTATCTTTGAAACGTCTTCATAAATAATTTGGTATAACCTTATGTCTCAGTATTTTAAATTTCTCATACAGTATATTTGTTCACTGATAGACATATTTAAGCAGGAAGTAATTGGATTGGTGTATTATTTATTAAGCATCTTAAATATGATTGACTCTGTATGCTGTGTACAGCTTATTACAGACTTAGTTCAGCCATAAAATACCCAAAGAGGTGTAATCAGACCAGATGCCTAGACAATCTTTTTAATATCATGGCAATCTGTAATATGTTACGGGAAATTGCCTATGAAAGCTATCATTTCTACACCTGCCTGCTTATCAGACTCACCAGAAGAAACATGAAAAATAGAGATTCTTTACTGAAATACAAAGTGCTCTGGCTTCGCCTCTGCATTTTAAACATTTTCCAATATGATTCAAATGTACACCCAGTTCAGGAAGCCATTGCCTTAGTGTTTCCCAGTATCAAAAAGAATTTTCTCCTATGGCTAGGACGGAAGGAAGGGTAGTGTCATCCAGTTACACAGCACTGCCCTGGGCTGGGGACCTAGATTCCAGGCTGGCACTGGAGGTGAGTCACAACTTATCTGAGCCTCCATTTTTCTCACCTGTGAGGATTTAGGACAAGATGCTTCCTTAGGGCCATCCACTTCCGTGATAACCATGTGACTATTTTGTTTGTTCATCACTTGATGAAAAAAAATCTGCACAAAGGTCAGTAATGTCTAAAGGGTAACTCCCTGAAAGGGTCATGTAGTTCTTTGAGAGGACAGCAGTCTTAGGATATTTCACAACATGTATCACATATCCACTGACAGGCCAGCCAGGAAGAGCCAGAGGCTGACCCAAAGCTTCTCGAAGGGAATCTTGACCTTCCAGATGCTTCTGTCACCTGGTCACTCTAGCGTGTGGCAGTTAGGAATTATTTCTCAAGTCTGACTGCTGGCTAGCCAATTCAAAACCTTTGAAAGGATAATTTAAGAGATCTTAAAAATTGCCACTTGCTAATAACAAAGATTTAGGGTGGTAATTTTCTTGCCTTCATTTTAAGATTCCTCATGTCCACTCTGGCATTACAGATCATGGTAATCTGTAACCATGTTATAGGCCCTGAAAATCTTCCTGTTATAGTGTTTAGTATGATTGTCAATAGAATTACTAAAAATAGCAAGAAGGCAAAGAATCTTATATCCTAATATGTAATTATTTTAGCCTGATATCATTAGTTTAATTGGAATAAAACTTTGAAAAGTGTTTACTTGTGATTGAATAATAAAATCAAATGTTTTCTATATGCTGAGCACTGTAATAATAATTACTTTTCATGCATCATCTCATTTAATCTTCATGATAACACTAATATTTGGAGGTTAATGTACTCATCCAAATTAAAACAATTACTATTATGGAGTAAGGCTTCCAACCCATGTCTAACTGATTCCATAGTCAGAGCTTCTAACCACTAGCATAGAACCTAGTCAGACCTATTTAGTGACAAAAATTCACAAAGCAGCTTACTATAATTAGAATATTTTCCTTCCAGTATGGGCTGACATGTAATTTTATAGCCCAAATAATAAAAAAAAAGAGTGATCCAATCTATAAAGAGTCTTTAGTTCTACAAAACAAACAATTAAAACAATAGAAACCAAAACAATTCATACAGACAAAAAAGCTAAGAAAGCGAAATTTAAATAATACATTCAGAATCTATTGGACTAAATACTTAAGGTATCGGGTTTAGATATGATGGTGTCACAATAGAGGGGCTCGGGAGTCTTGACAACTGATAATTCTATGGCAATCAAACTGGCCTTTCCTGAATTGCTTGAATTTCCTTCATCTTTTATATCACTCTCTAATGACAATTGTAGAGATGATTTTATATAACTTCTTGTTCACCTTTCAAAATTATCCCTGTCATATTTAGGGTTATAATGTTAATGCAGTAACCATAGACCATGTCACCCCCTTGCATGAAGCCTGCCTTGGAGATCATGTGGCGTGTGCCAAAACTCTTCTGGAAGCTGGGGCTAATGTAAGTACCTACGGAAAATATCAACATTTTCAGATCTACCGACTAAGCAAATCGAGCAGAGTTCTAATTTTGCTTTTCTTTCCTTCTTAGTAGTTTTCAGAGACAGCAGGAAAAAAAAAATAAAGCTCTCAAATTGCCCCAGCCTCCTCATTGCACCCTAAGAAGGATTTTCAATCACTGTAAAAATGGGTAGCATGCTGCATAATATGGAACATTATTTAGGCTATTTCTTGCTTTCATGATTCTAAATAACAATAGATGAACATCTTTGTGCCTATAATGTTTGCCTATCTTTTGGATGGTTTTCTTTAGATAAATTCTCAGAAATAAAATTTCCAGTTTAAACTTCACACCAGCAAAGTGGCTTTGTCACAACTTTCATCACCATTACATTTGTTGAATATTTTCCTAATTGAACAGTACTTAACCATTGAATTAGTTTTTGTGTATTTGATTCTTGAGTATGCATCTGGTTCATGATTTTTAGTTGCATGCCCACTCTGCGAATTATTTACCACATCCTATTTCTGTTTATCTCTTGAAATTTTAAAGCTTTCGTTATTGATATTTCTGAGCTAAATATACTTTGTCATATCTATGGCACACATTCTCCCAATTATTTCTGTGAGTATATCACATAACTTTTAAAAATGCTTACTAGTGCACCACGTCCGACTCTCTGAATCTCACTTTTAGATTTTGGTTTGGTTTAGGTAAATGCAATCACAATAGATGGTGTGACTCCTTTATTCAATGCCTGCTCACAAGGCAGTGCAAGCTGCACAGAACTTCTTTTGGAATATGGTGCCAAACCCCAGCTGGAGTCATGTCTTCCTTCTCCCACACATGAGGCCGCCAGCAAAGGTAACAGTTATGGAATTAAATGACAAGGGGAGAGTGTTCCTTTAGCAACACGCATTGCTCCATTGATCTGTCAATGAGTAACACTGCAGAGAGAAGCATGGAGTGAGGGGCATGTGTGGGAGGATGGGCATTAAGGAAAAGTAAACTCATCTCTACTCTGTGTTGGCAGGTTACCATGAATGTCTAGAAATACTGATATCCTGGGGCATAGATGTTGATCAAGACATTCCTCATTTGGGAACTCCTCTGTATGTAGCTTGTATGTCACAGCAATTCCATTGCATCCGGAAGCTTCTTTATGCTGGTAATTTTCTTTAAAACATTTTCCATTCTGTCCATACACATAAGCAATTATTCAGCTTCATATTTATTTTTTTAAATATTTTTATTTTTATTTACAGTTGATATACAATATTATATCAGTTTCAGGTGTACAGCATAGTGATTAGACATTCATATAACTTATGAATTGGTCACCCCAAAAAAACCAGTACCCATCTGACACCATAGATAGTTATTACAATACTACTGACTATATTCCCCATGCTATACTCTACATCTCCACCTCCGTTTTTATAACTACCAAATTGTACCTCTTAATCTCCTCCTTCTCTCATCCTCCCAACTCTCCCCACCAGCAACCATCAAAATGGTCTCTGTATCTATGAGCTTGTTTCTGTTTTGATTGTTCATTTATCCTGTTCTTCAGATTCCACATATAAGTGAAATTATATGATTTCTGTCTTTCTCTGACTGAATTACTCCACTCAGCACTGTTACCCTCCAGGTTCATCCATGTTGTTGTAGATGGCAAGATTTCATTCTTTTTTATGGCTGAGTAATATTACATTGTATATATGTGCCACCTCTTCATTATTCATTCATCCCTTGATGGACACGCTGGTTGCCTCCATATCTTTGTTATTGAACATGTGGATGCACATGACCCTTTGAAGTAGTGCTTTGGCTTTCTTCAAATAAATACCCAGAAGTAGAATTACTGGATCCTTTTTTGTCTCTTGTTATAAGCCTTTATTTTAAAGTTTATTTTGTCTGGTATAAGTATCACTACCCCAGCTTTTACTTTTTGTTTTCATTTTCATTAAATATCTTTTCATCCCTTTACTTTTAGTCTGTGTGTGTCTTTCGATCTGAAGTGAGTCTCTTGTAGGCAGCAACTGTAAGGGTTTGTTTCCTTGTCCATTCAGCCAACTTATGACTTTTGATTTAAGTATTTAATCCATTTACATTTACAGTAATTATTGATAGATATGTAGTTATTGCCATTTTATTATTCATATTTTTTATTTATTATTTCTTCTTAAAGAAGTCCCTTTAAGATTCCTTGTAATTCTGTTTTGGTGGTGATGAGCTCCTATGGCTTTTTCTTGTCTGGGAAGTCTTTATCTACCTTATTTTTCAAATTGCTGATTCAGTTGTTTGTTTCATCTAATCTGTTGATTTCCTCTAACGTCTTCTGTATTTGTTATTATAGTCTTCATTTCTCACTGGTTCTTTTTTATGTTTTCTATCTCCATTTTTGTTTCCTATCTCTTTGTTGATGTTTTCGCTGAAATCATTGAGATTCCTTATAACTAGTGTTTTGAACTCTGTATCTGGTACATTGCTTGTCTCCATTTTATTTAGTTGGTTTTTTTTGGAGCTTTTTCTGTTTTTTCATTTGGGACATGTTTCTTTGTCTCCCCATTTTGGCTGCCTCCTTGGGTTTGCTTCTATGTTTTAGGTAAGGCTGCTATGTCTGCACATCTTGGTAGAGTGTCCTTATGTAGTAAGTGTCCTGTGGGGCCCAGTGGTGCATTGTTCTTGGTCACCTAAGCTATGTGCTCCAGGTGTGTCCCTTGTGTGGGTTGTGTGCTTCCTTTTGCTGTAGTTGAGTCTTGGGAAGGATTGATTTTCAGGCTGATTGGTTGTGAGGACTGGCCGTAACTACAGTGGAGGAGTTGTTGTGCAGGGGCTGACCCTACGGAGCAGGGTTCGCTTTAGCAGGGCTCTGGTGCCTTCTGAGTCTGCCTTTTGAATGGCTCTCTGGTGTGGTCTGAAGGTGGTCACCTTGTATTGGTGGTTCTGGGGCCTCTTGGGAGGGGCTCTGTTGCAGGCCAAGGTCAGCTGCTGCCTGAGCCTTGTCCAGGGCCACTTGGTATAAGCTACAAAGTAGTCTGCAGATGGTTGCCACTTTTGCTTGGCCCTAAGGTGTCTGGGAGAGGCTAAGCTATTAACCAAGACTGGCTACTGCCAGTGCCAGGCTTAGGGCTGCTTAGCAAGAGGTATAGGGCACAGAGAGGCCAGATGTTGCTTGTTTAAAGTTTATGACCTTTGAAAGATTTTAGGAAAGTCCACAGCATGACAGGCCATTTGTATGGAACAGCCACTGGAAGTGGCTTTGGTGGGCCCACATTTTGGGTGGGGCAGGGTCTCAGGGATTCACCAGGGCTGGGCAAACAGTGTTAGCCAGGTTGATGGAGACTCAGATATGGCGGTCACCTGTATCTGCACGCTGGGTCAGGGGCAGGCTCAGCAAAGGAACTATGGCTTCTGCCAGCGTATCTGTCTCAGGAAAAGCTGCTCTTCCTACTCTTGCCATGAAGCCAGACAATTCATTTCCTCCCCTTAGGTCCCTGGCACCTTTCCATCTGCTGTTGCAGCACCGGAGCTTAGAGCCAGTGAGTCTGTCAGCGAGTAAGTCTGTGAGCTGTTCTTTAAGAGGAACACCTGGGACTCAGTCTCACTCAGACACAATCTCCACAGTTGTGAGGACTTCTCTTCCTGGCACTGGTACCCTGGGCTGGGGAGCCTGGTGTGAGGCTGGGACCCCTCTCTCCTTCAGAGGGACCTCCACAGCCAAGATATCCCTCCTGTTTCTCAACCGCCACATGGAGGTTTTAGGACAGCCCATTTCAGGTCTCTGCCCCTCCTACCAGTCTTGACTTATCTTCTTCTATATAACCTTAGTTGCAGGACTTCTGTTCAGGCTAGACTTCAGGTGATTCTCAATGATGGTTGTTCTGTAGTTTAGTTTTAATTATGATGTGGTCATGAGAGGAGGCAAGCACAACATTTACCTACTCTGCCATCCTGACCAGAACTCCCATATTTATTTCTTTGCATAAGCTTCTTTTAAAATTATATCTCATTGCTTAAAATGGTCTTATTCAAAGCATTCTCACATATAAGTATATAACCGATAAAAAAGAACCTCATTCTTAATAACTCCAGTTCACTTCAAAGTTTCAAAACCTAAAGGGCATAAAATTAAGATCTTCAAGGTTGAATATAATGTTGCCAAAAATGCATATATCTGTGAAGAAAATCATCAAAAGAAATTTTAGGGATAGCCACTGCTTAGATAACTTTATTGTCTACCAACTGTAAGAGTTCACACGCTTTCTCAAACTGCGCTGTCCCACTTACCTGAAAAGACATAATGCCCTTTTCTACCTACCTGAAATGAACCAGTTCCTCAAGGTTCAGCTTCAGCAGTCCCTCCCACTAGTGGGCTGGGAGCTCTTTTAGGTGTGGATTATCTCTTTTCTCCAGCATCTCTTTCTCTAGCATAGTGCATAAAATATATGTAAAATAAGTAAATGAATTTCTGTGCTTTTTATTGTTTATGACAATCATTTGGTCTCTGATATATATATTTTTAGTAACCTCTGTATGTGTTACTCACATTTTCTTAGCTAAATTATAAATTTCTGGTAAGCAGTGTCTCCATCTATTTCATTCCCATTACAGCTAGTAAGACTCTTAAACATGAATTCTGCTAATAATTCTTGGCACATTGTTATTTTCTGACTATGTTCTCCCATACATTTGTATAACCAGAAGAGTTTATTCTTAATCATTTTTTCACTTTGCTAGGAATGTTATTCTTTCCACCAAATATTTTATAGTTTGTAAAAAAAAATGGAAAAACTGCTGTTAGTAATTGTGGATTGATTGTTATTCTCAGGTTCTGTTCTCCCATAAAATTGATATAACCAACAGAGTTTATGCTTTCTCTATGGTGATTTTGTTATGTAATATAATTTTTCCACTAAACATTTTACATTTGCTTGAAAAATATTGAAAATGATTACATTTATTGAAACTTGAAAGTAGCAGGAGGGCCATAAGGGACTCTTAAAATATACTGCTTCTTATAAACATTAGTTTCACTGAAAGTATCAGAAAACAGAGTTGAAAGAACTTATGCACTTTTAGTGCTAGACATTTTTTGATGTTGTAACCATGTATATACTGGAAAATGGGATTGTTTCTCTTTACAACATTAAACAGCATTTATTCATCATACATGCAATCAATGACAACCATGTGCCAGTACTTGCATTAAGATAAAATAACGATGCAATAAGTAATTTAGCATGCAAGGGCTTTTTTTTTTTTAATGTAAGCATTTTTAAAAATTTACTTTGTATGCAGAAATAGAATGTGCCTTTCCATTTAGGGGGCTCAGTGTCTTTATATATTTATTGACAAACTGCATGAGTGAGAAGCGACAGGAAAATCTATATACATTTTACCTAAAGAGCTCACATATCTAGAATCATGAGTTTTCCAAGAAACAAAAGAGCTCTATTGCCTCAAAACAAATGAAAAGAATTAAAGCAATAGGCTCTTGAATAATCCTAAGAGCTATCTATCCATCATGATGAAAATAGACACAAGTCAACAGATTTGTATGCTGATTATAATGTTAGTTAATATGATTACTTTTGGAACCATTTAAAGTTTTAAAACAGTTATTATATCTTTGAAGCACACAGAAAAATATTAGAAAATATAACAAACATGTGCACTCTCCATCCAAATGTACCAAGTTTTAATATATGCATGTATATGTATATATGAAATATATATTTATTTATGTATACATATATAGAAGTAAGCCATTACAGATAGAGTTGAGTTCCCCTTTGTATCACACCTTTCTCTCTGTGCTGAGGTAAATGAATCATTTATTAACTTTTGTATTCATCATCATTCCGTATTTACATGTAGGCGCTGATGTACAGAAAGGCAAATATTGGGATACTCCATTACACGCTGCTGCTCAACAACCCGGTCTGGAAATTGTAAACTTACTGCTAGAATTTGGAGCAGATATCAATGCCAAAAATACAGAGCTTCTGCGACCTGTAGATGTAGCTGCCTCTAGCAGTTTGGTGGAAAGAGTATTGCTTCAACATGAAGGTAAGAAGAATACAAGTGGGAATTTAAAACCACAAAAATACATTTGCCTGAAATATCAAATTTAAAGGCCTTTTGTTTGTTGGCATATAAAATGATAATGGCATAACATTTGGAATTTTTTTGTGAAGATAAATACTTTTTAACTTAGTTTCTATCTATAAAGAAGATATCATGAAGATCTTAATTTGCTTTTTTCATCTTACCTAAACTTTATATTCCTTTGGTTAAGTTAATATATTCAGGTTTTGACAATATATAATATGTAATACTGTTTAATGTCTGCTAATAAACATTTGGAAACATGCCCCATTTTATAGGAGCTTCCACCTTCTATAACGTGTTGTAGAAACATAATCAGGGAATATTTCCACACTTGAGACTTTTGTTATAAAACAATTTCTTAAACCTGGTCCAGACACAATAACATTCTTTGGCTTAAATAGTAAACCTAATTTGAGAAAAAAAAACACATTTCCTCCTTTAGTGCATAACACTTTTTTTTATTTATATCTCCTTCAAAAGCAGAATTTGTTTCTGAAGCTTTAAATGTAACAATAATTTCATAAGCATGGAGACTATAATGTTTTAAAGAATGCATATAGAATATACCTCAGTTATAATAAGATCTTATAAGTAAAGGCAATATAAATGTTTACATAAATTTCTCTAGTTAAGTGGTCATACTGCCCTCGTTTACCACAAAGCACTGTAGTTTCTTATAGTTTTATTTGCTGTATCTTACAACGTATAAAAATCCATTCTGATGTTAATTAACAAATATTTTCATGTCTTTTGTAGCTACCCCAAGCTCCCTTTGCCAACTCTGCCGACTCTGCATCAGAAACTACATGGGGAGACCACGACTGCACCTTATCCCACAGCTCCAGCTGCCAACATTATTGCAGAATTTCTTGCAGTACCGATAAAGCAGTAAAATAATTCTAAATACTTTAAAAAATCAAAAATTTCTATTTCACCTGCTTAGTGTATATTTCATATTAAAATATGCATAAGATAGAGTAAAAGTGAGTGTGAGAACACCCAGGGAAAAAGTGAAATATCAATTTTAATTTTAAGTGTACCATTGTTTTATGCATTTTTATTGTTTTTGACTATCGTAGATCTAATGTATCTATACATTATTCCCATATACCCTTTTGTTGATTTAGAAAAAATGAGAAAGTCTCCATTTTATGTTTTCTAGAGTGGTAAAAAATGTAAATTCTTACAAAAATTATTCACATATTATATTTTAAAAGAACTATGTGCTTCAACTAATGAATTAACTTTTTAATTTTGGCAACTGTAATTATCTCTATTTTTTTATATTATTACAAAATACGAGTATGGTTTAGAGAAGAGCAGCTAATATCCTTTTTGAAATGAAGACGGCTCTTGTTCAGGAAATCCACTATGCTGCAGGGACACTTGTCATTATAATGATCACTTCATAAAGAAAAGATAAATTGCCCCCTCTCTGCAAAGACCTCACTAGTCACTTCACCACCTTAAGTGGATCTATTCCAGGAACTGTAGGACTGAAAGTTATTACTACTGCCCTCTCACCTTGAGGGGTGTAAAACATTACACACCTACTCAGCTATTTTAAGGCCTCATCCTCAAAGGTAGACTCTTAAGGTCTCTCTTCAGTGCCTTTATACATACCTCTCCAGCTTTCTTCCATTTCAGAAATTGTTAATAGCTGCTGATACCTGGACTGAAGAAAATGAACTTCATATCTTATTGATACAGAGGCCCTGGTCACACCCCGGGGATCAGGGCAGTCCAAGGCTGTAGAAAATAGAAGATAAACAAACAAAACTCCTCAAATTGTGGGATGCCATTTAGCAAACTTAGAAATCCTAAAAAAGTTACCCTATATATAAACCTTAATCGAGTGTTGATAATTCTTCTTACACAAAGCAAAAGTTCAACACAGATCTTACCAGCAAGGGAGTGTTGTATCAAGGAAGATATTACTAAAGCAGTGTCCTCTGCAAGGGTTAATACTGTTCCTGTGCTTTAGCTGTACTTGGGCATAATATAAAACATAATAAAAAAATTTTGGGGGCCGGCCGAGTGGCGCAATGGTTAAGAACTGGCTTGGAATGCCAGAGGGCCCCGGTTCGGTTCCCACATATGAGGTCCAGTGACACTGCCCTCTACAGCTAAGATGCTGAACAACAGCTCAACCTGGAGCTGGGCTGCTGTGAGTCGCCAGCATCGGCGTAGGCTGCAGCCCCTGTGGCAGTGGGTTGCCATGGGCTACCGTATGTAGCCAGCAGCTAGCGTGAGCGGCCAGCAGCCTCAGTGAGCGGCCGTCCAGAAGCCAGCGACTGATGTGCCTCCGCCCTGGAAGAGCGCAATGATGGTACCAACTTGGGCCAGTGAAGCAACGTCCTCCACAACTAGACTGAAGAACAAAAAACAACAGCAACTTGTCTGTTTCCCTTCCCCCAATTCCCCAGCACTGTTCCCATCCCCCCAATTCTCCAATAAAAATCTTAAAAAAAAATTTTGTGCCTCCATTGTAATTTAGACCAGATTTGAGTCTATTATGAATTCAAAAATAAGATAATCAAGATGTAACTCTGTGTAAAGTAGAAGAAAATATTTTGATGAGTTTTGTAAAGTTATCAAATTTTGATAAAATATTTTTTGACAATTACTTTAATAACACAGGGACCTATTTTCCTTTCTTCTTAGTTCTTGGCTGACTTCCTGAGACCCATGGGAAATAATCCATTATTGTATGTAATCCCAAAGTCATTAAGATGGCATTTCTTAAAAAGTCATTTGTTCAAAAATAGAAGACTTTGCATATTTCTAAAATATGTTTTCTATGTGGCTAGAGACTTTTAAATGTGTCTGTTTTACAGACTATCTCTAACAAATTTGTGATGTCCTCATGAATAATGTGCATTGAAATGATTTTTATTATTATAGGGTAACCTCATTAAATATAATTAATTAAAACTGCTTTTTAGTAAAAAAAAATTTCTACTGTATTTTTCCTGAGCTAGAGGTATTCTTAGAGCACAAGAGTAAGGCATCCCTGTTCATTGGTTCTGTGCCAATAAAATAATTAATTTTCAAATATTAACATGAAAATTGTCACTTTGGAATTTTAGTATTGTAGCACCTTGTATCTTAGCTTGAGTATGATTGTCTTATCAAATAATTGTTCTAATTTAAATATACCATATGTTTGTTAATGTATTAAAGTGTGATTATTAACCCTGGAATAAAACACTTTTTTCTGTTTTAATTAATATCTGATTTTATAATGTAAGGTAATGGAGGATATAATTCAATTGTGCTAATTTTTTTACCACCAGTTTTCAAATCACTGTATCATGGGCATTGAGAGTAGAGTAGTGAGTGCATATTGATGTAGAATAATCTTTCAGTGACCTTCTTGGAACAGATGTAATTTCTTTCACACGCAAACACCTAAAGACACATTTGTGTGAGTTTGGGGGTGTTCAGGGGTGTTTGGATCCACAGTATCACAGCAGAAGAGGAACAACCACATCCCAGGGACTGAGCCCTTTGGGGTCTCATCCCGCTGCATGGTCTGCATACCCATGAAGCCAGCAGCCTTGTAGTAGAGGCTGGTAGACTTGGGCATTCGGAATCTGGTCTGCCTTGGTATCTTCCTGGCAGTGTGAGGGGCAGATGTCCTTTGAAATTCTCTGTATTACCCAGAAGGAAGTTACACACACACACACACACACACACACACACACACACACACATACTTGCACTCGCGCCTACAGTACCCAATGACAAATTAATTCTCAGGGACAGTACCATTCAAGCACATGAGTTGGAAAAGAAATATTTCCCTAACTTAAGGAAAATTTTTGAGGTGTCTCTCTCAAAATAAAGTCAGCACTTCACATTGTTAGGTTTCAAATTATTATGCAGATCCATATCGATTATGTACATAAAGACATACTGCCTTCGTCAATAAATTACTCCTAGTAGGGAAAGACTCAATTTAATTCTCAACCAAATGGATTCTCAACCAAACGTTCTCAGTTGGGGGAATGGAAGGTAGTGATTTTATACTTTCAGTTACATTGTCCTTAGGAAAATTGCCCTTAGGAAAAAAAATAAAGGTATTGAAAAGAATCTCACAAACTGTCTTCTTGAATTGTGTATGAGGAGGGGAAATTACGCAATCATCCCACTCATATATATGCTTGTTTTACTAACAATGGTCTGAACTTTGCTCCAGGGCCCCACACGTAAAGGGCCCCATGCTTGGCTTAATGGTCTTCTGTCATCATCTTGAAATTCTTATTTTTTATCAATATACCCACGTTTTTACTTGGTACTGTGCCCTGCAAATTATGTAGCTGTTCCTATTTGTCTGTGACACTGTTAACACACCTGTAAAGAACATCCATCTGAAAGGAATTCTTCCTCTTTGGATAAGTCAGGTGGAACTTTCTTAGGTTCCTTTGCCCTATCCTGGGCTTTAAGAGAACTAGAGGGAGAAAGCACACTACCAAGGAAAAGGGCAAAATTAACTTTTCTCCTTGTGAGTGAGTACAATTTCTGCCTCTATGCTATTGAATCCTTTGTGGGAAAATTACATGCACCAAACCAAATTAAATTTGGTCAAGGCCTGAGAGGCACAGAGTAGACTGTGTGCAAAATGCTCCCAGTAATTCCTTCCATCACTGTGCATCATTTCTATCACCTCTTTGCATTGTGACTTTGTCTCTCTTCCCATCAAGAGTGAGATTTTATTTCTCCACCTCTTGAATTTAAACTGGTTCTGTTTCTTGTTGTGCAAAAAACAATATGGTGGAAAGGATGTTGGGTTACTTTTGAGCTTAGGCCTTTGGAGACCTTGCAGCTTCTGTTTTCATCCTCTTGGCAGCCTGGGCCCACCACGTGAAGGAGCCTGGGCTAGGCTCCTTTAGGATGAGAAACCACGTGGAGAAAAGCCCATCTGACAGGGAGCACCAACTCCCAAGTATGTGAGTGAGGCCTCCTTAGACGTCCAGCCCAGGCGGAGCAGCCAGAGAATCACAGCCACCTGAGTGATACCAGGCAGAAAGAACCACTGGCTGAGCCCAGCCCAGATGCTGCCCCAAGGCATCGTGGGAACATGAGTTACTGTTATGTAATTCAAGCCACTAAGTTTGCGGATGGTTTTATAACACAGCAATAGATAACCAATGAGAAATAGATACTTTCTACCAGAGTGTTATGAGGACTTCCATCTTATTTCTCCTCCTCACTTCTCAGTTCCAGCTTTTCCTTATCTTGTGAGGATTTGGGAGGGATGCCCTACAGTTCTGCATGGGAAAATATAAATCTCTGTTGGCGACATGCTCTTTTCCCACTAGCAGGAAATTTTCTCCACTTTAAGACCTTCATTCTTCCAGGTACATAAGGTCAAAATTCTAAGTTAGCCAGAAGAAAATAATGAGAAAAACAATGTAAAGAAATATTGTTACAGGTAAAGCCTTTGAGACCATTTCTACCTAGAATCCTCCAAACTGAGTCAAGATTGAATTTTCAAGGAAAAGCCACAGGAAATATTTCTTCTCTTATTTCCACAAACGCAGCACAGGATCAGACCCCTTTGAAGAAGAGGTTCCTAATCACAGCAGAGATGACAAGCACTGGCTAAATAGTCCATGTGCTCCCCTGCTTTCCTAGGACTCCCACACAGGTAGGGCAAGAGTGCATGATGGACATGAGCAGAAGCGACATATGCCATTTGTAGTCTAGGAGACTTAAGGGTCAGTGTGTATCCTTCCCCTGTCTCTCCCTGTGCTGCAGTCACCTCAGAGGTAACGTGTTCCAGGTGGGGAAGTCAGCACTAGCCTGGATACCTACCTGTGGAAACCACCCCCACCCTACTGACCCACAGTAGACATGAAATGTCAGCAAAAAATAAACCTTTGGTGGGTTAAGCCACCGAGATTTTTGAGTTTGTGTGCTATAGTAATAATTACTTGTGTAATATATTAATTCTCGTATGTTTAACCTTCAGCAATCAGAGTATAAGATCCAACAGCCTCATGCATTTGCCCGTCACTTTGTAGCTCTTCAGTTCATTTCTATGCCAACTCACAGGATATGTAGTTAGAAACATTTAATTTTAAGTCTTTGTGTATTTATAGAGGGAGAAAGATATATGTTCCTATTGGCGTTTTCATTTGTTAAGTGATGGTTATAGCCCATTATCATCATTATCAATTGTAACTGACTTGAC